ATCGCGATCGTGAACATTCTTCATATTATAAACTGATTGAAATATATTAACGAGTGCTACTAAATTACAACGCTAATTTTCGAATAAAATAAAATTTCATCAATTCGAAAAATTGTGTATCTGCAAACTGTGTTCGGGGAGCCAATGAAAATAGATTATATGTTGGAATGTAAATATTTAAGCTATGTAAATATGGCTTCCCTTTTGGATATCTACTCACGTGAATTAACATTGAAATAAATGAAATTGAAATGTCAATATTGCCAAGTTATGATATAAATTTATGCCAAGCCCTTTATTTCTTCTTTCCCCTTATTTGATACATCTATATATATAAAAATCAATGTTTGTATGTTTGTTTGTATGTCCGGTATACAAATTCGCAGTAGTTCACTAATTCAAACCAAAATTTCCATACATAGATAAAAAAAATACGGGGAAGACGATAGGCTATTTTAAAAAATATATAAATCAATTATTAAAACTATATATTCAAATTATTCTACTTAGCTCACGAAAAGCGCCCTCTATCAAAGATTAGATTAAATTATGCTGATGCAAACAAATAGATAATGCTAATAACAAACAATTATTTAAAAAAATCTTATCTAAATATATATCACTCGGGTAGATATGCACACGGGTCAATCCCGGGGCGAAGCCCGGGTCACCCGTCTAGTTGTAAATAAAACATTGCTGATTACTATTATTGTTATTTCTGTGTACCCTCTTCTACTCGGAGAATCTGTTTAAGACCAAAAGGTCTTATTGTATATTGCCCAAGTATGAAAAATACATTATTGAGCTGTGGCTTTTCTCTCAGAGGTGCTTAGCAATATTGCAGACTGAAACCCTATATTCGCCGAGAATATACCAAAAAAAGTTCTGTTATAAACATGTATATATTTTTAAAGAAGTAAATATGGCAAGTCACACATTAGAACAATCAGAAATACACCTTCTACAAACTCTCCTACCAATTATTTTTTTAAATGACCACTTCTTTTCGAATTTTATGACCACTCGTTAATTTTACACTCAATATGTTCAAGAGAAAATATTTGACATACAAATATTTTTTTCTTATTTTACCTTTATTCACATATGGTCAAATTATCTGACAAACATGACAATTTTAAAACCTTTGGGTTTGCTATTTTTGATTAGAAAACTGATCTCTCACGCCTTTTCATTGAAAGAATTTGTTTTTTTTTCTCGAAATTTGTGTGGAGACGCTTTAAAAGCGTGGTCTAGGCTTGGTTCGTGTCTGGTGATCCTCATGCATATCTGTGTCCACTTCATTCAACGCTGAAATAAAAGTACTAGTTTTAGTATAATTTATCGTGTCTTTTATGTCATCCTTTTTGTTGTTGTTGTGGTACTTTTTGTGTGTACACGTTTCGGTCTTCTTTGTATTTTTACCGTGTAATCCCCGCAAATAGCAACTTTCATTAGTGTTCTCCTATCAATCTTTGCAACTGTTAATGCCATACGAACAAGGCACCTCGGTTGGCCGGTATTGTGATCAGGGTGCACGAACCGATCTGATCTGCTCCATTGACAAGACACCACCACCACCTCGGTTGGCCGGTATTGTGATCAAGGTGCACGGACCGATCTGATCTGCTCCATTGACAAGACACCACCACCACCTCGGTTGGCCGGTATTGTGATCAAGGTGCACGGACCGATCTGATCTGCTCCATTGAAAAGACACCACCACCACTGCTAATGTCGTAACTTTATGCTCTTAATCTACTAGACATCCCAAAACGTTAGCGCATCATCAAGAGTAAACTTTGAAATGTCAGAGGGTCCAATGTAATTAATAAGAATTTGAAAATATTCAATGAACAATATAGTTTGAAAACAATAATATAGGAACGACGGCAGTAAAGGGCGGTTGAGATTACCCCTTTGTGGGGTCGGCGTCGATAAACAAGGAAGTACTGGAGTGGCCACTGGTGAGATGTTGACAAAGGGGGGACAAGTAGGCGCCGGCAGTCCGGCGACAGCCGTGTGACAGTGAGTCTGTCTGTCGGAGTGTCGCGGAGCAGTCTTGTCAGCGAGGACATCCGCACTGTACGACTGACGTCTCAGTTCAGCGAGACCACGTCTACATTGACACGAGAGTGCTCTGTCAATGAGGCTTGGAGGCAAGTTTATTTACACATATCCAGGTACATAACCTATATAAGGTATATAACTAACATAACTTATAAAAGCGCAAATTCTAACTGCATTCCTAAACAAACTCGCGTGTCGTTATTAGGTTCTTTCGCACTTTTGTGTGCACAAACGGCGTCTGGTCTGACAAAACTAAGTATAAATCACTTTGGGATCTATCTGGGAGCTACAAAACCCGAATTCAATATTTCCTCTCTTTAACCAAAAACAAACGAAAAAGGCTTCGACACACATTACTCATTCTTTTAAAGCACTTTAAGATTTATTACTTTCGCACTATAAAAGTGGCAATTGGTTGCTGAAGAGAAAATCAGTATGTCAGAATGTAATTCACACATTTTACAGAAGGCTGTGTGGTAAAAATAACAAACACTCTGGTTCAATGAGGGTTGCGAACCTGGGTGCCGATCGACCGGACCACCCTATGGCCTGCAAAACCTGATGTCCACAAGTGATCACCTCCCGTGGAATGACTATGCACGAATTACTCAATTCTTATGATCGAAACATCGGCGTTTGTAAGTGGTATTTTGGTAGGCGCTCAAGTCGGTAGCCTAGCCAAACTTAAAAGTAAAAGACCTCTTTCCATATAAATATATATATATATATATATGAAAAAAACAATAGAAAAAAAGTGGGTCAGGTGTTGATATTAAAAAAAAAAAGAAAGCATATCCTGACCGTGGATGGCTTTTCTTTATTTATCAAAAAATTGGGTTGGCCAAATATTAGGGAACAGGCTAAATCAACGTTTAGTTGATTTCTGTTCCACTAGATGGCGCTCTGCAATCTAAAAAGCACATGTGCTCCTGGTCAAGATATGCTTTCTTTATTTTTAATATATACATATATTATACGAGTGAATTTCAACGATTTATTCATAGTTTGGTTTACTTGAGGGACCCGTTCTTATAGAAAGGTTAAACGGAAAATTGACCACTTCGCAGAATTATTTGAACTCGCCGATATCTTTAAATATGTCGATAGTCTTCTTCTTTCTTATCTCCACTCAATCACATTAAAATGTCTAGTCTGTGGGTTTTGAGCCTTTTGATAGTGTGCTGGGGATGAGTAGAGCTCATCGATGGATGAGCCAATACAACAACAAAAAGCTTTATTAAGACCTTTTAGTCTTATACAGATTCTCCAAGCAGAAATGTAGGATACATGTAGGAAAAAAGTAATAGTAGGGATGAGCCTACGGTCGTTGATGTGGTTTGGCCTTGCAGGTAATGTTGATGTGAAGTGACTACCAACAAAACCGCCATTCGGTGTCGTATTTCATCATCAGCGACTATAGTCTAGAGCTGAATCCCACAGGATCTTGAAGTGACAATGTCTAAATAAAAGCTGCTTCTCAGAGCAGTTCCCAAGTTAGCTCCATACCACAGTGACTCTCCGTAACCTTAATGACATCTTGAGTTGAGTGCAGTATCTCGACCATTGACCCAGGAGGACATTTGCGACAGGAGAAAGATAACGCGAAACGGACGTGACACAAGGTCAATCTGGATTCAAGGAGATATCGTTTAAGATTACATAAGGAACTTGCTACATTCGAAGAACAATTGACATTCATTGACAACGTTTGAATCAGAAGGCGCCCTGTGACCTTACAATTTGTTCACACTCGTAGTTATATTAGAAAGGGCAATTTGTACAAAATAAAAATGAATTATTATTATTTTTAAAATACATATCCTGACCGCTTAAATGAACATTTTAGTTGACAAAGTGACATCTAAAAGTGTAATTTTTTTATTTCACATATCATATATGTATGTTCCATATGTAAATACCTGTTTTTTTCCTCTTTTCGCTCTCCACTTCTTCCATCCATATTTACAATTTTTTTTTCTTATTTTCCATAGGATTATTCAAATAATAATCTGTATATATTTATCATGTGTATATAATCTTTCTCCATTTTTACCCCTCTGTATATTTCCAACTTTCATAGGTATCTCCGTCTTGTAGCCCCAAGGAGAATCCTCTGTAAGATCTGTGTGTCTTAATATAGGCTTTTGTGTGTGTGTGTATTTCACATATCAATATCCGATCTTCTTCTAGTCTTTTACCTCTACTTTTCTTTTATTTTCACATGTTCATATGCGTGTAAATTTGGTCTTAACTACCCCTAAAATTGGAACGATACAGAGAAGATTAGCATGGCCCTGCGCAAGGATGACACGCAAAATCGTGAAGCGTTCTCTCTCTCTCTCTCTCTCGGAAAGCTCGTTAAATTTTTATAAGAATTATTTTTAATCTGAGGAGGAATAAAAGTTTATTAATACACTGATCTCTTTCTCTTCCACCAAGCTCTGCACCGTGGCTGAGGCGGCATGTACAATGTCATTGTACATAGCATATTATTTATATCTATTTTTAGTTTTATCATCATTTTCATTATTGTTAATTTCTGATAATTAGTGCGGACTGTGCACTTTCCTGTATTGACAAGATGTCAATAAAAATATGTTAATTGTCATTGTCTCTCTCTCTCTCCTTGTTCCGCGGTACATATACTAAAATTGGAACGATACAGAGAAGATTAGCATGGCCCCTGCGCAAGGATGACACGCAAAATCGTGAAGCGTTCTCTCTCTCTCCTAAGACAAGGATTCGCATTTTTGTAATTTTGCATGTGTCACATAAATTTCAGAGTATTCTTCCGATACGCTTTTAAAACGTATCGGAAGAATCGTCTGAAATTTAAATTACAATAAAACTCAACCTCCAAGGATGTTTCTTATTTTATTAAATCTTCTCTCAAGCTTTCGGGTGCTGTGAACCCTTCTACAGGACCATACAAACCTAGCCTAGTGGACATGGCATCTGCCCGGTAAGCGGAACACTGTGGGTTCGATTCCCATCCCTGGACACTTTTATTTTTCTGTTTATCATTACTCTTCACAATTCACCCTTTCATACCTCATCCAAAATGTTAGAAATTATCGTTATTTCTCCTTGAAATAAATTTTGAATTTTCGTTTAAAAGAAACACATGCGGGATAGTATTTCAAATGTCGTTTTACAAAAATTCAAACTAAAAACGAATTTTCGTTTGTATGCTCTTGTAGAAGAGTTCACAGCACCCGAAAGCTTGAGAGAACATTTAATAAACTAAGAAAATTATCCTCGGAGGGGGGGTTGCTTTTTATTGTAATTTTAAAACGTGCACATAACACCCAGAATTATATGTCTAACTGATAACGGTGGACGAGTGGATAACTCCCTCGATTCCCGACAGTCATGAACCGGGATTGAATCCCGCGTTAAAATTTTGTTTAATATGTGAATAACCTTCACATATATATTATTCACTGTTTCAATTATCATAAACTAGGTTACTCTTGTTGAGCGGTACCTATTAATGTGATTTGGAACCATGTCAAACTGGTCGAAATAACACACAATATAATGATCAGTGTAATTACTCCTGTGAACATTCTCTCTCTCACAGAGAGGAGGAGGTAATGAGGCACACAGTGTGGTGTGAAGCTAATCAGCCGTGACCTCGAGGGCGCGTGCCGAGGGCAGAAAGGGTTGTTGGGGTGACATCTTATTTACCGGCACCCTTACCCTGAGACTTTGGTGATGGGTAGAGATTCCTCCTCTTTCACTTCGGTACAGTAGCGCAGGTTTCTGCCCTAAGAATGTAATACAATATTAGCAAAACCATTGGCTTCCCTTCTGAACCTTATTTTTGTACTAAACTATGGAGTGTATTGATTAACGATACTACACCCGAACGTTATGTGTGTGTGATATCTTATAATTGTTTATATTAAATATGCATAAATATATTTTAAATATAGAATGATGCATTAGCACGCCATCTTTTATAAGAAGTTGAAACTATTTTATATGCGTATTAATATATATATATTTTTTTAATTAAACAATTGCATACTTCCTTTACACTGCAATTGATAAATTAAAGGGAGGGTCTGGCTTATCAGTGGTGAACCCTCCAAGCGATTTCGCCAGTTTAATCTACCATACCGCTTTAATATTGCATTTTGCTGTTTTCTTTTTATACCGATACTGAAGCTGACCTCGCTCGATATCGAGCGAAAGCCAAGAACCAAAAGATAGATTGAATATATAGACATAGTTGATATAAAAAGGGCGTACCTGGATCTGTTAAAAAATGCAATATATTGATAAAGAGGGAGAAATCTCTCTAAATAGTTTGAGAAAAAAATGTTTTTTTTTTTCTTTACAGATCCAGGTACGCCCTTTTATATATAAAATTATTTAATGGATCGCCTTTTGACTCAAAATATAGACAAAGGTTCGATATGGAGTAAATTCACAAATATTCTCCACTACAATATATATATATGTCTTTTTGCAATTAGATCCTTGTTGATATGTGTATAGGTGTGTGTGTTGTGTTGTGTGAGACTAGAGTTGCTTTTTGAAGCTAAAGAAACTTGTTTTTCTGTTTTCAGAATGTTTTTTAAACTTCGGGAGTGCGGTCCATTGGAGCTGCTATGTTGATCGTCCACTCCAGAACAATGGACCTTGGCCGCGGGAGGAGAAAGGCCTTTGAAAAGACAAGGGCCTCCAGATCCCTATCTACGGATCTAAGGGTTGCAACAATCTTTCTTCGCTTGGAAAGCGTCCACCAAGAATGGCATCGATGAATCATTGATGGCAAAAGCAAATGTCAGCTTCTGGATGGAATCATTTCACTGGGTGATAACGAGGGACGATGTCCATAAAGGACTTAGATAGCGCAAACTGATTACCTGTGTTTACAGGTAATTTTATTTGAGTTCACAATTCAATAAAACAATCCATTGTATCCATATTAAGGTGAAAATATCATATTTACGGGATAAGTTTCTTTTAAAACATTTTAATTCACAAATCTCTAGCTTTCGGGCACGAGAGCATTTCTACAGTAGAAAACATGTTACAACAAACCGCCAATAGGACAAGAGTTAAATATAATCAAATACACATAGGGTACTTATATATATTTAGTTATTTGAATGCCAATTTATAACGCGGGCCGCCACTGACGATTTATTGTAGCGTGTTTTTTTTTTTTTTCTGTAGACGGGCTTCTGTGCCCGAAAGCTAGAGAGAATTTTTTTTTTCTTTACAGATCCAGGTACGCCCTTTTTTATATAAGCTTATTTAATGGATCGCCTTTTGACTCAAAATATAGACATAGGTTCGATATGAAGTAAATCTTATCCCCGGAAGCCTGATATTTTTACCTTAATAAGGTGATTTAATGTTGATGGGAACCTATAAAGAAAGGGGTTCAGAAATAAATATGGTTTTCTGTTCTTTAGGGCAATGGTAAACACATGCCTTTAGTGTAGCAGTCCCCAACCCTTAAGGGATCTTTTTAATTCCCTTTTTGTAAACGCCAAAAGCCAATCAAAAAGAACTGCTCATGGTACTAAGGAGAAATAGTCTGTTCAGTTGGCTCTATATAGAGTGCCTTTATCTATCGGATCAACCATACAAATTACCTCACCAACTTGGCTATAACTACAGGGTAGACTAGGAAGCGCTAGGCATCATAGTTTACTGGGCTTCTCGCTAGCCCGTGCGTTGATAGAGGTTTTAACTTCTTATCGAAACGCCAATAGCATAGCGCCTGCTTTGTGAGGTTTACCATTTTGGAAAATAAAAACATTATTTATACCGGGTAGTTGGCGCTCTGCGCTCCAGGAACCTGCGTTATTAATATCCCCCCCCCATTATTTATATAAAAATAATATTAAACTAGTAATTGCCAACCAATAGTCTTTAAGAAGGCAATCAGAATCATTTTTATTTCAAAGATGAAATCGCCTTTGAGTGCTTTCTGGTTCGCATGTGAATATAAATGTAATGACTTTCTATTATGTGAACCATTTCACTACACTGGGGCTAAGTTATATGCACACATAATCAACCTAGTTTACTGATATAATTTTGATAAATTTAATGCAGGTTTATATAGGCTAGAATCCAGGTCAGTCTGAGACATTCTCCTAAATGTGTTGAATCTTCCCCTTATAGCATCCGGATGATTATAGAACGATGACTATATTTATAACTCTGTATAGTTCTATAAATGTGGTGAATCTTCCCCTTATAGCACCCAGATGATTATAGAGCGATTACTATATTTATAACACTGTATAGTTCTAGAAATGTGTTGAATCTGCCCCTTATAGCACCCAGATGATTATAGAACGATGACAATATTTATAACACTGTATAGTTCTAGAAATGTGTTGAATCTGCCCCTTATAGAGCACCCAGATGATTATAAAGCGATGACAATATATATAACTCTGTATAGTTATATAAAGAAATGTGTAGAATTTTCCCCTTATAACACCCGGATGATTATAAAGCGATGGCAATATTTATAACTCTGTATAGTTCTATAAAGAAGTGTGTTGAATCTTCCCCTTATAACACCCGGATGATTATAGAGCGATGACAATATTTATAACTCTGTATAGTTCTATAAATATGTATAGTGAAGAAGTCCTAATCAAAGTTATACTCCGGATGATCCGCTATTCAATTATTTACACATCAGAAGTTTATGTGATTGAAGCATATTAAATCATAAATGCGCTAAATAAATGTAAACTAAAAACGTAAGAAACGTAAACTGAAATTTGTATCTATATCGGCAATACAATTTGTGAAATAATAAATAAAATTTATATAAAAACGTTTGAGCAATTATCATTTCCACACAATTATTGTTTAGTATACACATAGGTCCATTATTGTAAAGGAGTTTTGATAAGGGAACAATCAGTTGAAGGTTTCATAAAGAGTTTTAACGAAAGTTAATAAAGTTTTATATAACTGGGATCAGCAATAAAAAATATGTATGTATAACACCACATCTATAATATTAACACTGCCAAAAATATTTAAAAAGAAGTGTCCCGAATCTTGCTATATCCAAACAATAAAGTGTGTCAACACAATAGTCCATGGCTGGGCCGAACACGATGTGCCGACACGTCTGCAGATGCCATGTTCACCACCTCATCAATCACCAGATGAGCAATCAAGGAATGATGTCTTAATACAATTATCGTCCTCTAAGGACAATCGTCATTACTCATTCCCGAGAACCATTGTTGGGTCCAGATCGAAAATAAATCCCTTCACGACAGTTTTGCGTGCCACGGGGAAATCAATGTCCCGCAGCAGGATCACATTCCCATCCCGCGGTAGTGTTCTCATCTGTCAGACAAAATAACATCCATGGCGCAATGCATAGAACTCGTAGTTCTTCAAGGAACACACATCAAGCCAGAAAGAGAGATTGATCCTTACCCATTGCTGGTTTGCAACACATGACAGAATAAAAGATGTTATGATTGATGCTGAAGAATATCCAGACCCGATTGGTTCAGTATTCATCGGTTTGTAGCATTTGACCATTTGAATTTCTCTAAGAGAAAATCATTATTATATAAAAATAAATATAAACAATAAGCATAACGGCTTCAGAGGGTGAGCTTCTTGCTTTATTGTATATTCATCTCAAGCTTTCAGATATCACAAACCCATCTACAGGGGTAGATGATAATGCTATAATATGATATCATATATTCCTATACAAGATTTGTGATACCCGAAAGCTTGAGATGAATATACAATAAAACAAGAAACTCCCACTCGGAAGACCTTTTGCTTATTATTTATATGTATTGAAGAGGATTTTACTTTTCTGATATGATGATATAATATAAAAAATATTTTAATTTTACAAAAGTAACAGGCGCAAATTTATATTTGTTTTATTTATAATACCCCTGCACAGGTCTATCGTATAATATCAATAATTCTGAGTCGATTATCAGAGAAATCTATCATCATTTATAATAATTTAA